AACGTCAACATTGAGGTTCAGACATGCGAGTTTGACGTTGTGCTCTGAATGTACGACACACCCAGCGATCGCGGTTCATGCAACTTGCAAGCGATGTCCTTTGCCTTTCATGCCAAAGAGTATATAGGCTTGTTAAAGTCAAAGCACTGATTTGTAACAGGTATCCAACACAACCACTGTCAGTGTCAAGTCATCCAACAAGGGCAAGTCGTGGGCTCCATGAATATGGCATGCTTACTTGCTTTCAGCACAGCCTGGGCTCAAGGGATTAGATTGAGCACTGGTGCCCTTCAAAGGCCTTAATTCAACGCCCGACCGTTGATGTTGATGCTCTCCTTGGTCCTGAGGTGCTGTCAGGCTCAAACACTTTCACCCAACGTTTGAAAACAAGAAATTAGACTTGAGGCTGGTGCTGTTGGTGACAGATTTCCACCGGACTCTTGCCCATGCTTAGAGCTTGAACGTCCATGTATGAAGGCGCTCTTGAATGATCAGTGACTCGGAGGACAAGAATGTCAGGTGCTATGAGCTCTGGGGAAAGGACCCTCGTATTTCATCCAGCTATAGTTCTATCTTCTGTGTCTTTCAAAGCACTCAGGTCCCCGCTCCGTGCTCTTGCTTATCTTGTAAATGAGACCGAGAAGTCGCATTGGCTATAGCAATGTCTTAATCTAATTGACCTAGATTGACGATTAAATATCTAGGAAAGTTTGAAAATATTGACGGAGCACCTCAAACGAAGCAAGAGCGAAGTAAGAGCTATCGTCAAAGCTACTCGACGGAACGCGATTCAAGCTCGCGTGTAAAACTTCACCGAAGGAAGGGAAGTGTGTATCAGGTCGAAAAGCAAATATGAGGGACAACACTGTGCTATTAGAAATAATCGCCCGGTAATTTGATCAAGGGTTTTCCAGGACGCACAAGTAAAACTTCAAGAGATGGAAACTTGTACGGTCTGTCTTGTATAGGTTGTGACCTTTGTTCATTTGATGGGAGGGATTTACAGTTTCCTTCAGGTGAACCTACTTTCGACGCTGCCAGGTGGATCGCATGAAGTCGCAGCTAGTTAGCTACACCATATGATACACATGTCCCATGCTCATTTAAGTCCTGACACGGAAAATCCAGCGTTTGAGAACCTTGAATAGCTACTACCTACTACTGTTGGAATCTTCCCTCCAGGAGCTTTTTTTCTGGGAGTTTTCCCTCTAGGAGCTTTCCTTCCTTCCAGAAAGCTTCCTTTTCTAGCTTTGTATAGCGCCCACATGTTTCTCTTCTCAGTAGGAAATCAAGGCTTTTTCTTGCTTCAGCTTTTCCCGTCTTTCTGGCTTGCCAACAACTACTATTCAGTGTTTTCTTAGCCAAGCGAATGTATTTAGAGGCGTCTCGTCTTTGAAGTATCGATGTTTGGGTGATTCATTGATTCAGCTGCTGGGCGAAAGGTCAGATTGATTGGCCCTGTGACGGTCGGATGGGATCATCAGTCTCAACTTTAATCACAAGTCAATGCAAGATCTTGCTCAGTGCTCAGTGCTGACTTCTTGATATCTACCTGGCCTATCATCACTAACCTAACCTACTCGAAACCCAGCCTTTGCAGACCGAGCTAAGGCTCTCCCTCCATAGTAATCTCATCTCACCATCCTTTGCCGCTTTCTCTGGGACTATGCTACGTCAAACAATTCGTTCACTCAACAAGTACTATACAGCAATAGCTTGTTGATTACGCGCAACTTCTCGAATGGGACGACTTTATGTGAAAGCATTACATCGAATGCAAAAACACCTAGTGTGGACGAATCTAGTCCAGCAGTCCGGCAGTTGTTGTTTCTCGGTCGCTTCGATTGGAAACCATCGTAACGTCTATCCGTCAAATCCGAACTGACTTTTGACTGAATCGGTTGTTGCGTCGTTTCTCTAGGCACAGCTATACGCCAATTCTACTGCTTCAAGTCTAGCATCGAGCATACATCCATCTTTAACGATCTACGAGGCTTCATCGCTGGCAACATGCCATCTGATGGCAGGAGATATGATAGTCTTTCAGTTGATGATGCGCATTCTACGTCAACACACCCATGGCAAAGTCTACCCGATACCGCTTCCAGGCCACAGTGGTATTCATGGGATGGCGTTCGGACATTGCGAAATATGTGACCTCCGGATTTTGCTCAGTCGCTTCGGGCCCGAATCACCAGTACGGCCACCCGCATTGTCCGCTTGACCCCCAGAGCGTGGAATCTGACATGTCATGTCAATACCGCAACATCCGCTGGTTATGACAGTTTTCGCAGATCATGCAGCCTTGTCTTCTGTCATCGTGCATTCAGAGAGAATCGGCTTTAACGGCCAGTGAACAAAGAGATGGCCGTTCGGTGTGAAGCTTCTTCCAAGAACAAGGCCGTGTCGAGGCTTTGAATGAATGGGTATCGCTGATGGCCCTTCAGCAAGGCAGAGACTTACTTCGTCTCAACTAGGCAGGCAGATCGATTTCCAACAAATCATGTCCCCAAGCGAAGATGCTTCTCTCAGGAAGTGACAATCCTAGATTCAGCACTGCATAATAAGGGGGATTTGACGCCCTGCTTAGAAGCTGGATGGTGTCTCCTGCCAGGATCTGCATTCCAAAGGCAGCCGCTATTGATTTGGGCCAATAAGCCAGCTCTCCCTTGCTCCATGTCCTTGCTGAAGGGTTGATCCTCCCATTCTACAGTGAGCTGGAAAAACTCAATGTCGAATATGCATAATGCCGCAGCCATCGGTCAGCCATAAACCTACTGCCTTAACAATTATTGATGCTCACCGACCGCCATCGCACGAGCTTATATGGGATTGAACAAGCACGATACATTAGCTGGCATGCGAAGTGAAAGCACTGACTTTCCTCGATGACCTTCGTCTATCTCCACGATGAGCTTGACAAAGAAGCTAGTCGCCTTCACACCCTAATTGCGCTTCCACAGGAACCTACACATCTATGACAGAGCTCAGCTGCTTGATGACGAGGATTGACTTGAGCAGATCAATATACTGAAGTTCCTCAAGTTGAAACTATGGGGGACACCTCACCCACTCCGCAGCAGCTCTTTGTTGAGGCTGTTGTGTTCTGGTCTATAGGTGTTGTGCTATATGTTGGTCGAATGTAAGTCGGATTCAGCTGAGAACCTGATGTAAATTGCCCATGATTGACCAACGATCAAATAGGGTATCACGAGCAATCGCAGGGGGATCTATCAAACGGTTATTTTGTACGAGATCAGAGCCGACCACTTTTGAGCGGTACAGTTTGCTGACCTGGTCTTGAACTTGATAGGGGACGACTATGTGATGACAGCAACATTTGTATGTTAAAGACCGAGAGCAACCGCATGCAATATACTAACATAAGCCAAACAGATGATCTACACGACATTGCTCGTCCTCATTCAAATTTCCGCACGCTATGCCACCAATCTCATGGATCCCAAAGACTATGACACGGTTCTATCCGATCCCCAGCAAGTCAGCGACCGTATATTTGGAAGCAAAATTGTCATTGGCCTCGAACAATGCATGTTGATATCGACATGGGGCGTCAAAGCATGCATGTTGATTCTCTATTGGAGAATCACACAAAATCTACGGTCCAATTTTTACATCAAGTTGCTATGCATCTACGTCGCCACTGGATTTATTGTCATCATGGTCACCTACTACGCTGTGTATTGCCGACCATTCTCACAATACTGGGCGATGCCAGTGGACAACATGCAGTGTGCGACCTACCAGTACTATTCCATCACACAAGCGGTTTTCAATATCTCCTCTGATGCCATGATGTTCGCTGTCCCTATTCCTCTGCTTGTGAAAGCACAACTCAAGCGCCGCCGGAAGGTTGTCTTATTGGGAGTCATGGGCTTGGGCCTTTTCACCATCATTGCCGCCATTCTCAACAAATACTTCAATTTTGCCTCACCGCTTACTACCACGTACCAGATATGGTATATCCGAGAGTCCAGTACAGCCATCTATGTCGCCAATCTCATGTGTTGGTGGCCACTCTTGCGCAAGCTCTTCGGACTCAAGGCTTTCGCATACAACAGCAACCGCGGCAACAAAGGTCCAAATCACCAGCAGTTGAACAAAGGAGGTCGTGGTTACTCTGACGGCTCAGAATCCGGACCCTCAGTATCTTATTCCCGTCCCCTGCGATTTATGCAATCGCCTTTTCGCAAAGGATATCGAACTGGCCACGCTCAACGCCACGGTGACACTCGTCGATCTAGCCAAGAAGCCATCACGCGGGCCTCGGTCAATTACACGGACGATCTTCATCGGACTGATACGATAGCTATGGATGATTGGGACTGTGAACGCAAGCTAAGTGTTAATTTTGTCGATCTGAAAGGCTCAAGGCACGATTCGATCGCGGACCTGGAGGCAGGTTATATGAAGCCCTTGTCACGCCCAATGTGACCAAGGAGGGGAGAAACATCAACTCGGAAGCTGCAGCAACAGATCGCTATCAAATCGATATTGTATATTTTATATTGAGAGCTTTTTGTACTAATAGCACCATTTTCAATCGTCGTAGTCGTAGTCGTAGAGCATAGGAATACCGAGGAAGGATTGAGCTGACAGCTTTCTCTCCATCTACGAAGTGACGTTATACGCGCGTAGCGGTGTCACTAATTCCTAGTCTGCAAGCGAGCTAGCTCTTCAGGGAGCTTTAGGCGCTGGAGTATGAAACGGTAATCTAAAGCTTTACCACGAGTACACACTCACGGAGTCATCAAGTGGAAACCGCGGACGGGCGGGAGCATGAACGCAAGCTTCGAAATCGCACCTGTGCAGCCATGGCTTTGGTTAATTCGTAGCAATGATAATTAAAACGAGGCCGTATCGTGCATGTGGCGGCTTCGAAAGGAGTAAAAGTCAGAGATGTACTTTGACATGAAATTGCAGGAGCAATGGAAACTTCTCTGATGGCGGAAGGAGACAGCAAAAAGTGAATAGCTAGATGCGCCGACCGGGGTTCGAACCCGGGTCTCTCCCTGTCGGTATAAGTGGGAAGGGAAAATCCTGAACCACTGGACTATCGGCGCCAATTCGAAAGGAGTAGCTCCATCTCTGGTACATAGAGAGCCCACTAAAACGCCGATTTCACCAAAAGCATCACTTGAACCATGGTTAGCACCAAACTGCCTACACTGCGAATATAAGAACATGACCACTTACTGTCACCTGGGGACCTACTCATCCATCAGGGGTTCCGAGCCAACATACTGTTCTACGTAATTTGAAAGGTAGATCAGGGGCTAATATCACACTTCAACTTGATAGTATGGAAAGCTGTCGCTACTTTTACGAACTCCAGACTAATGGACTCCTCGGTAGCAAAGCCCAAGTCTGTAAAGACTAAAGACACGGCCCAGGGGGCTAAAGGGGGTCATTTCCGCAGTCACTCGGAGTGTGTACGCTCAATGCTCGTTCTTACTTCGGCCATATCAATTCGAACCTCCCGGCGGCCCGGCTCTCCCAAAAGTCATCGATCTCGATACTTAAAATATGAGCAATGATATTTTATATGTCTGATCATTTTGACAGACATCGCTCTTTTTGTCAGGAGCGAATCCACGATGACTGAAAAGGTGAAGTCTCAAGACCGGCTCCTGGCAAGCGATGATTTACCCCACACGGACGGGGCAGCTCTCCACAAACAAAAGTTACTTTCTTCACGACTTGAGATGTCCTGAATCGGCGGACTAGTGTCAGCCCCCTCCACATGACATAGTCAACATCAACAGGGATCGGTCCGACTGAACGCTGACGGCCAGTCATCGTCGGGCTGAGGCTCTCTTCCATGAGCTAGAAAAAAGTCAAATGACCTTCATTCGGCATCAACCAAAGTATCGGCGCAGGTGCGAGTTCTCAAGAAACCTCGTCTGCGGGCAATTACCGGAAATTTCGCGATGCTGAGTGATCCGGTGTTCTTGAACAGCGGCGCGAGCGCAGGGGCATCGATAGCCGATGGTGGAGACGGTGCTTTGACTGCGGAGCCAACTCGACGTGTTCTCAAGACGTATAAAAAGGGCTGAGATCGGCAGCCTCGAAGCGGAAACATTTCTACATAGACGCATCTAGACGTCTTCTCTCCTTCATAAACGACAGTTATTGTGGTCGTTTCTTCGTTTCTTGCATCTCAGGTCAAAGATGCGTTTCACTACCTTGTCAGGCGTAGCCAGCGTCCTCTGTGCTGGCCAACTGACGACGGCCCATCCTGACTCCAAGGGTGGAAATCTGACGCCATTCATTCATCAACAGGGCGAACGGTCGCTCCAGGGCATCCTCGACAACCTCGGTGGACGAGGAAAGAAAACACCTGGTACAGCCGCAGGACTTTTCATCGCCAGTCCTAACACGGAAAACCCGGACTGTGAGTGAAAGGTGAATGGCAGTCTCAGCTCCGACAGCGCTAATGGAATCGCTCAGACTACTATACGTGGACTCGTGATTCTGCATTGACAATCAAATGCTTGATTGACCTGTTTGAAGGGTCCCACGCAAAATTTCCGGTCGACCGCAAATTCTTGGAAACGGGAATTCAGGACTACGTGTCGTCCCAGGCAGTTCTGCAGAATGTCTCCAATCCCTCCGGGACCCTAAAGGATGGCTCTGGACTGGGCGAGCCCAAATTCGAGATCAACCTGAACCCCTTTTCGGGTGCATGGGGGCGGCCTCAGCGGGACGGTCCGGCTTTGCGAGCGACCGCGATGATCACATACGCCAATTATTTGATCGCCCATGGTCAAACATCGGATGTGTCAGAGATCATGTGGCCAATTATTGCCAATGACCTGGCCTATGTTGGTCAATACTGGAATAACACAGGCTTTGATCTTTGGGAGGAGGTTGACGGGTCTAGTTTCTTCACGGTCGCTGTCCAACATCGTGCTCTTGTCCAGGGCTCGCAACTGGCCAAGAAACTCGGGGCAACGTGCGATGCTTGCGAGTCTCAGGCTCCTCAAATTCTGTGCTTCCTGCAAACCTTCTGGAACGGGAAATATATCACCTCCAACATCAACACGCAGACAAGTCGCTCGGGCATCGATTTGGACTCTGTTCTGGGAAGCATTCACACCTTCGATCCTGAAGCGGCCTGCGATGACGCGACATTCCAGCCTTGCTCTGCACGGGCGCTCGCAAATCACAAGGTTTATGTCGACTCTTTCCGCTCCATCTACAAGATCAATGCCGGTCTTGTTGAGGGGTCGGCCGCCAATGTCGGCCGCTACCCGGAGGATGTCTATCAAGGTGGCAATCCATGGTCAGTTCGGAAATGGTGTTGTATCCCCGTCGCTTCTATAAATGTACTAACCGAGAGTGAAACGACAGGTACCTTGCCACCCTGGGTGCATCCGAACTACTTTATGATGCCCTCTATCAATGGCACCGGCTCGGCAAACTCGAGGTTTCTGAGATCTCACTCTCCTTCTTCAAAGACTTCGATGCGACCGTGAAGCCTGGCTCGTACCCGAAAAATAGCAAGACCTACAAGAGCCTCACACGGTCCATCAAGTCTTACGCAGACAACTTCGTTCAATTGGTGCAACGCTACACTCCCTCCAACGGGTCCCTGGCTGAGCAGTACGATCGCAACACGGGTATCCCGCTCTCCGCCAATGATTTGACCTGGTCTTTTGCATCTTTTGTGACGGCCACTCAACGTCGCGATTCTGCGGTGCCTCCTTCCTGGGGTGCCAAGTCTGCCAACAACGTCCCAACGACATGTTCGGCCTCCCCTGTTGTGGGAACCTACAAAGCACCCACAGCAACCTTCCCATCCAAGACCGAATGCGTGCCGGCAACGAACATCGTCCCCATTACTTTCTATCTGATTGAGAACACCTACTACGGAGAGAACGTATTCATGAGTGGTAATATTACCGCGCTGGGTGATTGGGATACGAAGAAAGGCTTCCCACTCACGGCCAATCTTTACACGCAGGATCAGAACTTGTGGTTCGCCAGTGTGGAGTTTATCCCGGCGGGTACACCGTTCGAGTACAAGTACTACAAGGTTGAGCCAAATGGCGACATTACCTGGGAGAAGGGACCCAAGAGGGTATTTGTCGCTCCCACAGGATGCCCAGTTCAACCTCACCGTAACGATGTGTGGCAGTCTTAGTCGCGTGAATTCCTGATTCAACGAGCATTCCTCGTGATTGACTGCTATAGCATTAGCTCGATAGGACTTTGATTATATTGCATTGAAATTGTTGAGATTGAGCTTCTCAAGAATAGCTGAACGTTCCTTTCTTGATTCATACATGAGTACGATTTCGTGAAGATCGGTGTCGTGCCACAAAGACTAATAGTATACGTACTAGCTCTGACCAGGCATATCAATTGCCATCGGAAGATCACCAAGGTATCAACCATGTCATACTCGGATCGGAGGTGTAATAAACGCCTCAATGGCACGATTTAAATCTCCATCGCTGGCTCGGAGTAGATCCGTAGCCTTGTTCTTGTTCAACTCAAGCTGTTCGACCTATTTTCAGGTGGGAGTTTGTCAACACAACAGTCCAGAAACGTAGGAATGGATGAGTGGGCGAAGGCGTCTTTTAGAATTCGAGCAAAAACATAACCATACCAATAAAGTCACATCAGCCGGGTTGACCTTGACCACCTTTCTCGGCGCTTCGGGCTCCTTCTTCTGTGCTCCGGTCACTTTCTTCTTATCATCTGCAGTTTGCCCAGCAGCGACTTCCAGCCGGCTCATCGCCTTGTTCAAAGCTTCCTGCTGGGCATTGGTGGGCCCTGGTGGGGCAGTCGAGTCGCTGGAGACTTCCTCCGGGTTCAGCGAGTCGAGGGCAGCAGCGGCTTTGCGATCTTCGGCATTGGAAGGCACATGCTGGGCTGAAGCATCAGGATTTGCTGTCGCGGAGGGAATAGGGTCTGACATTGTGATTGATGTACTCCTGTTCAGATCACTGTCCCAAACTTGAAGTCGATAAGAGTCAGCACAGTAGTCAATACCGAGTACACTTGGCCAGGATCAGCTCTGAATAGTGGATGTGGATAGCTCCACACTTCCTTGGGCTGAGGGGCGCTGAAGAAGAGCTGTGGAGACTCGAGAGACACCACGTCACTGATAACCCGATAAGCCTTCTTCCACCTTTTGCGAGCCAACAGTCTACTGACGTAAGCAGCATCGAGGCTCTGTGCTGCCAGACTTCCAAGGCAGCCAAATGAGTCATGCGCACTGTCCGCGAATAAGCGACCGCAATGGAATTTTTGTTTGTCTGGCTTTTTGCTTAGGCCGAGAAATCCAGACCGATTTGATGACTGTACATTACAGTGCGGGCAATCATTGTTGACCCTGAACTCAAATATAACAAGTTTTATACCCCGAGTGGCTAGTGCTGACTAGAGACCGTCCATTCGTCTGTGGTCATCTGCGACGCTCGTTCGAGTCTTGTCCTCTTTGACAAGCCGTCCCACTCTACCATCCGTAGGGTACAAATGGAGCCAACCATGGCTAACTGGAGTCCATCGTGTGCGTGTCTTTGAGAATTCTGTTGAATAACTGTTTGGATAGTCCATGAACATGGCATCTTGCTGACTAGATCCCTTGTAGCGTGGACAACCAAGCCCATCAAGCAAGATGTGGTGTATGAAGACGTGCAGGGTGTCAAAGATGCCCTCTCACAATTGCAGCGTCTGCCGCCTTTGGTTACTGCTCGGGAGGTGAGTCCCTTTCAACGTGCATCTTCTTTGTCATGTAGGATGTCGCTCACATGGACAACAGATCAACAACCTCAAGAGCAATCTGAAAAAAGTCGCTCTGGGCGAAGCTTTTGTCCTGCAGGGCGGTATGTCTTCAATACGGGAAGACGCATATGGCCCATGACTGACTCTTTTCCCCAGGCGATTGTGCTGAGCTGTTCGACTACTGCAATCAGGAGATGATCGAGGCAAAACTCAAGCTCCTGCTACAGATGAGTTTGATTCTAATCTGGGGTGCGTGTGGAACACTGGCATACTCTCGTCAATAAATCCCTTCTAAGCTTTCCCACACAGGTGCAAACAAGCCTGTCAT